CTATTTATGTTTTAATTTTTTTTAGTTTATTTTTATTAAAGATTATTGCTTACTTTAAATATATTAAGTTATGAAAATTTTATAGAGCAAAAAAGTATTATAAGATAGTTTTAAATTTTTATTATGATAGTAATTATATAAATTTATTTTTATCATTTTTTTCTTAGAAAATAAATAAGATATAGATAATCAATTAATATTAAATGTTAATATGCAAAAAATTTTCTCAAAAACAAACTAAATAAAAAATAAATAATTTAATATTGCTAAATTTTAAAAAGAAACATTAATAATTTTTTGTATATTTAATATAAATATATCAACTAATTCTATTTAGAAAACAATTATGCTAACTAAAAGATTAACTTAGTTAACAAATTTGAGCTTTTTTAAGATCGATTCTAGCTTATAATTTTTTATACTACTAATATTTACATGTATATAATATACTGTAAAAAAAAACTATAAAGAATTTATAAACTGTATTAATAAACAAAATATTTTAACTGTTTAAAATTAATATTTATTATCATAATTATTTTTTTATAATACAGTATATTGTAAAAAAAAGCTTATTCATTGTATTGACAAACAAAATATCTAGATTAATTAAAATTAACATTTATTTTAATATTTACTTATACATAATATATTATAAAAAAAGAACTTACAAATTGTATTAACAAACAAAATATTTAAATTATTTAGAATTAATGTTTGTTAGAATACTTGTATCTAATATGCTGTAAAAAAAAAAAGAACTTACTAACTGCACTGACAAAAAAATATTTAGAGTTGTTAGAATTAATATTCATTAGAATATTTACTTATGTATAATATGTTATAAAAAATAAATAAATAATTCTATAAAAAACTTACTTGCTGTATTAATAAATAAAATATTTGAATTAGTTAGAATTAATGTTTATTATAATATTTACTTATATATAATATGTTGTAAAAAAAAGAATTTATTTACTATATTGACAAAAAAAATTTGAAAAATTAGAATTAACATTCATTAGGATATTTATTTATACATGATATGCTGTAAAAAATAATAATAATAATAATTTTAAAATTAATATCATTAGGATATTTACTCATACTTGATATGCTATGAAAAAACAAATTATTCACTATATTGACAAACAAAATATTTAGATTAGTAAGAAGTAAAGTTCATTAGAATATTTTCTTATTCATAATATGCTGTAAAAAAAAAAATTCTACAAAAAATTTACAAAACATATTGACAAACAAAATATTTAGATTAGTTAGAATTAACGTTCGCAGAGAATTTACTTGTACATGATATTCTGTAAAAAAAAATAAATAGCTGCGCAACGCATAAGTTGTGCACTATTAGGCCATGTGATGTATAGGGATGTTGCGGTCCTGCAATGACTGTAGTCCCAGACCGGTATTTTGCACCAGTCCAATCGGTTTTCGGTCCTAAATTGAGGACCAGGTCAAGACGGTCCATAGCTTACAGAATGATCTCATTGACTAAAAAAAAGAAAAAAATTGCTGATGACCGAATCTATAAGCTTCTAATTCATTAACTTATTAATTTTGTGTCAGTAACTTGTCGATTCGGTCATTGTCAATCTTTCCGATGATCTAAACTGTGATCTGCAAATGCTTATATGCGCATGACTTATATGCACATGACTTACTCATGCATTATCGATATGATCCAAGACCTGTTCGATCTTTTTTGGCAAGATAATTTTGACATCCTTACCAGGATTCACAATGATAATTGTAAGTCAAAAATCTGATAATTTTTAAATATAAAAATGAAAATGACAAATTTTATGCTAAACGATGATGTTACAACCGATATCGGTATAAAATTTGTAACGAGTTATTTTAAAGTTTAATACTTGAAAATGCTAACATTGATTAATTTACCTTTTTTTTTTTACGTAGTGGACATTAGAAATCACATAGCTTACTTTGAAAATCAGCCAATAGACTGTTCTATGGATCAGTTTATAGACGGTCCTGAATCACGGTCCAGTCCACTGTCCAATTTACCCAATAAAAAGATTTTCCAAATGATTCACCATCTTGTTAATTCTAACTTCAATACGAATGTTAATATCAAATAGGAAAAAAAAAATATTACGAGGCACAATACATAATTGACAATCACGATTAAAACGAGTTATAATTTGAAGTATATATAAAAGCCACACGATAAATCGAATAATATACCATAATATTATAGTATGGTAAATTTAGGTAATGATCATGCACATGTTAGCACACAAAGCCACAAAGTAGGAACATCTAATCAGATGCCCAGAATTGCGAACACTTAACTTGTCAGGAAACCATACCTCCGTATTTTGTACTTCGTTCCTGGTAAATTCTATAAAGAACTTACTCGCTGTATTGACAAACATAATATTTGGATTAGTTAGGATCAACATTCGTTAGGGTATTTACTTTTATGATATGCTGTAAAAAAAAAAAAAAAAAAAAAATTCTATAAAGAATAAAATAAATACGTGTTCACGTGATACAAAAAAAGACTATAAATATAACCCTAGTACGATAAGAATTTTCTGATGAAAATCTTTACTGTTCTAGTCAAAAAGGAAATGCAGCGGATCACGAGCAAGGGAACGACCAATAACCAACAACGAATATCCCGTTTTACCTCTGATCGTTTGCTATCTGGGAAATGATCCACAGCATTCCGGTAAAGGAATATAAAGAGGGTTAAATCGGAAAACCGGCAATTTCATCCCCTTTTTTGGGGTTGTATCACTCTCACACAAATAAGTATTTCCTCAAACTCTTACCCCTAACGCTAACCCTAACGAAAATTAGCAGATCGACATCTGGGGCAAGCACTAGCCTGAAGCACGACACATGCTTATATTAGTTTGTTTCAAATAAATAATAAAAGTTAGGACTAGTGATGTGATATGCACATGAGAATATTTCGGAGGTTTCGAAATATCATAATTCTAGCCTGCAGTAGCAGCAAGCTGCTATAATGCAGGCCAGAATTCCATGGGCATGAAATTTGAAAAAAGGCCAATTTCCCATCCATTAGGATTCGATATAAATATGTGAACCCAATCCTAATTGCTAACACTTTAACTTTAAATTTCTATCTTCATGTTTTACTGGCAACTTGCCTCGCACATAAGTCCAATCATACCCATGTTACATACTCTTTAACTAACTGATGAAGAGGCTTAAGTGTCTATGGTTATACTAAGCATTTCGTACCGAAACTCACCTTTGCTAATCATGCCATTAATAATCGTACGATATGCAAATCCTCACGTGTTTATCATAGGTTTACTTATTTGTACATACATTTTCATGGCATTTTCGAAGATCACGTAAAGGCTTGGATGACAGTTACATATAACGTAATAATTAAAAATTTTGTTTATAAGACTATATTTCGGTTTTTTAATGAAAATTTCTTATATAATTCGACATAATTTATACTTCCCCAATTTTAATTATTTTTCCTTTAAATTTATGTAAATTTGTTGTTTTTTTTTACACGTACTACACATATTAAAATCAAATCTCTTTTAAAATGATACCATTACCGAGAGAAGTGCTTTTTAACATATTTAACAACTTTCGTAAACAATACAAAGACTTATATTCATGTCTTCTTGTAAGCCGCCAATGGTGTAGGATAATTGTACCAATAATATGGAGCGAACCAACAAATTATATTAGCGATAAAAAGCTTATAAAGATATATCTTTTAACGTTAAATCCTGAAGAACAAGCATTATTAATCCCTTTTAAGATTATCCTTCCGAATCATCCAAAATTACTATTCGAATATACAAGTCATACTATATCTATTAACTATGGTCTACATGTTGGAATCAAAAATTGGCTTTGTTATGAACTTTATCATGGAAACGAGAAAAATGTTAATGAAGAACTTGTAAACACTATTACATGTTCTTTGATCAGAATGTTCTTGCGAACAAGTCATAAACTTAAGTATTTAGATCTTGGTAAAATGATTTATAATAAAAGAACATTTGAAGATCTTTACAAAAACACTACTGTTATTTCGATTAGCTATAATATTAAAAATGATCTTGAATATAAGGCAATAATAAAGATCCTTTGCAAGAATGCTAATCTGACTTCTTTGAATCTTAGTTATAGTCAATTTGGTTTTGAAGAAAGCGATGAATTAGCAGAAGCCCTGTGCAAGAACACAACTCTAACTTCTTTGAACCTTGGTTACAATGACATTAATTCTAAAGGAGGAAAAGCATTAGCAGAAGCTTTATGCAAGAATACGTCCCTAACTTCTTTAAGTCTTACCTGTAATAACATTAATTCTGAAGGTGGAAAAGCATTAGCAACAGCATTATGCAAGAACACGTCCCTAACTTCTTTAATTCTTTGTAATAATTATATTAACTCTGAAGGTGGAAAAGCGTTAGCAGATGCCTTATATAAAAATACTACCTTAACTTCTCTAGATCTTAGTTATAATGGCATTAGCTCTGAAGGAATAAAAGCATTAGCAGATGCTTTATGCCAGAACACTACTCTAACTTCTTTAAATCTGTGCGCTAATTATATTTATTTTGATGAAGTAAAAGCATTATCAGATGCTCTATGCAAGAATACTACTCTAACTTCTTTAGATCTAAGTTATAATGAAATTGATTCTGAAGGCGGAAAAGTATTAGCGGATGCTCTATGCAAGAACTCTACTTTAACTTCTTTAGATCTTAGCAATAATCTACTTACTTCTGAAGGTGAAAAAGCATTAGCGGATGCTCTATGCGATAATACTACTTTGACTTTTTTGGATCTTAGCTATAATGGTTATATGTAATAAAGCATCCGTTCACTTCATCAAGGTCATTTTATCAAAGATAATTCTATGAAGATTACTTATCAAAATCACTCTATCAAGATTACTTATCAAGATCGCTCTATTAAAATCACTATATCAAGATTATTATATCAAGATCACTCTATCAAATCATGGGTATTTTTATTACTGAAGGAGAAAAACATGAACAATTGCTTTGTGCAAGAATACTAGCTTCTTTAGTTTTTGTAATAATATTATTGATTCTGAAAAAGAAAAAACGAATAAATTTTAGGCAGGGACACTGAATTTTTAAAACGTTAGTGATTAATTTTGAAGGGAGAAAGCATTAGCGAAGGCTCTATGCAGAATAATATTCGAGTCTTAGCGATAATACAATTTGTTCTAAAGGGAAGAAAACCATTAGTAAAGGCTCTGTGCAAGGACATTATTCTAACTTTGTATCTTTGTTCTAGTTAATCAATAAAAAAAATCTAAATCAAATTTAAACGTACACCGACTATAAATCTTTTCAAAATTAACATAGACTATATAAATCATTACCAAATTTATATAAAACATATCATGTAATTTCCAATTCTAGATTTTTTTATTGGCTAAAAATATTAATAAAAGTATATTAAAATAAGATTACAGTAATATAATACTAACTTTTAATTTGTGGTTTGAACCGGGAAGTGTATTTCAAATAAATATTAATGGTTCATCCCATTTAAGATGTAAATATATTCGAGATCATGAATGGAGTGCAACACTTCAAGGTGTAAAAAAAATAAAGGTGGAATCGATCTATTAAGTGTATGCAAAATTTGGCACTAAATGGGAATTGTCTTTCAGATAGATATAAAGGTGCATATTCTAAACTAACATGAAATTGCTCTAAAGGAATGGCACATTTGCTAATATAAAGTATCATGGCTTGTGGTGTCCACATTGTAGTAACAAATATACACTTGAAAATTTATGCCATGAAATTATATCTAAATTTCTTGGAAAGCCATCGAATATTCACTGACCTATTTTTTTAAAATACAAAATATCCCGTAGGATTAGGACTTGATATTTATTACCCAGATTATGGTTTACAATCGAAATACAAAGGTAACAGCATGAAAAATCATCGAATTCTTTCACAGAAGAGACCCAATAATTTTAACAACAAGCATGGAATCAACTCAAGAAAGAATTGAGCGAAGAGAACTTTATTGTTTTAAGATATGTTTGGCACTACGAACATTTCTGAGAATTGGGTCTAATTAAATAAAAATAAACTTTAAGTGCTTTATAATAAAGCAATAAAATCTTATGTGTATACATTGTTAAATATGTTCACTATTTTCTGACGTAAACGCATATGTACAGTTAAAGGTAAGCCTGATGCTGGCATTGATAAATACAAATATATATATATATATATAAGCATGAATCAAGTTCAAGGTATTAAGGATTGCAGTACAGTGTCAACAAATAACATTATTATAGATTTATTAAAATTTTAACACACTATATTCACTATTTTAGGTGGCTTCTCAAAACAATCTGCTGAATTTCATAAAGATCAATGGTGAAATTATCATCAAGAATTGCAGGATGAGGATAAAAACCAGTAGAACATATCCAATAGCTAGAATAGGTGGGTCGTAAAATATATCACTTCTCGGAATGTTGATCTAATATGCTGGATTACCCGGAGCACTGCACCCAGTAGGTTCATTATTACCTTTTTGTACAGTCCCAAAATGTAACTATTTTTTAAGAAAAACCATATTATAAATATCGAAAAAATAAAAATAAACAGAATCTCTAAGCAGTTTAACATTACTATTCTGATTGGCGTTCCCTATCTTTACAATTTGGCCTAATATTTAATAGAATATCAACTATTGAGCTATAATAAAATGGTCAATAAATACATACCTTCATTGGTCGAATAAATTGTCTGTTTATTTCGAGTAATTCACAAATCATAAAGTTTTATTCCCAATACACATCTTACGTACTGCTGATCCATCCAAAGTGCACACTTATTTTTCCATCCACGGACATTCTCTCTAACTGCAACTTCACATATTATTCTAGCATGAAAATTCCCCTACAAAGTATTAGAAAATAGTATACAAAACAGATAATGATAATATACACCAAATTCAATGCGCCCTTGTGTTGCTTGGGAGGTCCAAGATTGAGAGATCCAGGATTAGAGGTCTTGGAATGTAAGCCTCATTCGGATGTATTGAAATATCCGGTACAGTCATAAGTCCATCTGTATTTGATGAAGGATGAACTATAAAAAGGATGTAAGATATTAGAATATCCATAAAAAGTCAAAGATCAAGCAAGCTGGAATTCTCTTATATGGTTGACCTCTAATGACTATTGGGTGGATCAATAATAATGTTACCATTTGGAATTTTGAAGTAATCTTGCAATAGTGCAATAACAGCTCCATGTTCTTGTGTGCACATATCAATAATAAAAATTACAATTGTTATACTCAAACTTGTACCCAGATGGTTCATGACTTTCGAGAAATTTGGTGTAGTTTTTTATCGATATATCTTAAAAGGTAAACTGCAATTCATATGAGCTTACACTAAGTGGAACTTAAAGGATCACAGTTCTATGATAAAATCATATGTTACCTATTCTCCTCTAGAGATTCCTTTAGAAAATTTAGAAGTTGAAATTGTTCTTGAAGCTTCTTAATTAAGTCATGAAACATTTTTGAAAAAAAATTATGATGTGATTTTGTAGACCAAATTATTACAGCAGTAATTTATTTAGATAATCGGTTATCGATCACTTGAGTTAGGGGTATATGCAATGATCACCAATTGGCTGTAAATGCACACCAATCATATTTTAATCCCAGTTTAATATAATGCGTCAAGCACGCTTCGTAGAATACATTTCAATAGGTAAACATTTAATACAAGCAATTTTAACCATGAAGTAATAGAGCTTTATGTTTTACTTTAAATCGAAATTTAATTTTCCTCATTTATAGATTCCAATGGTTGACACCTCAATGCATTGCGCATACTAACTAGCATCACTGCCATTTTACGATGCACTTATTTTCCATACAATTATATATGAAAAAGGTTTATCATGACTACATCGTACCTTCATCATATCTTCATTGCATCTATATTTATAAGGAGTTGTAATTAGGGATGGGTTCGGTCACGAACGGTCACAATCATTCATAGTTAATTTGCTAAATACTGAACTGATTTTTTACTTTTGAGCTTTTA